CCGGCGGAGCCGCCGCCGCGCAGGTACGGCCGGGGGCTGCTGCGTGCAGAGCACGAATGGTGTGTATGGAGGGGCAGCGTGCGTGTATATGTCGCCTGCATTTGGTGTGTATGCATGTATCTATATGTCTATATATGGTGTTTATGTGTCCTTATATGGTGCATGTATATACACATGCATATATGTGTGTATATGCACATATATAGCACATATGTAGAGATGTCTATAGCTAACTTAACTGCATGCAACTCACCCATCAAAACTTTTCTTTAACGCGATGCTCGCTCCTGCCTTGCTGGCGCGTTTCGCTTTGGCTGCTTATGCACAATTGCATGATTTTCCCTTCGACTTATGGTTAATTTCTTGTGAAGTGGAGAAGGTTTTTTTCCTATACAGCTTTTTATATGCGTATGTGTGTTTTATATCTTTATGTTTATATATTATATGCTGTAATGTAAATTAAAATGCATGCACATACACACATGTGCCTCTATATAAACGTCAAATTTCTTACTGTTTCCCAGAATACTTTAAAAATACTTCTGATTCCCTCCCGGCCGAATGCTTGAAACATTCTTCCTGCCCTCTGCCTGTTACGTACTGTCTGCTTGGTTTCCAGATTTACCCTCCCAGGCATCCCGTGGGATCCAGTCAAAGTCAACACCCCCTCGTGGGCCTGGCTGCGCGCGGGATAGAGCGGCTAACGGCTCACGGAGATTCCTGAGGCCGCTCTCCCGGCGGAAGTTTATTCTGTATCAGGAAAAATAAAAATTGGATGTGAATTCTTTGAGTACGTGACTTAATTTGGCTGAATGTTACCCAGTATGCTTGAAATGTGCTACAGCACACGTGTGCTAAGCTTTTTCTTTTTTCTTTTTTTCTCTCTCTCTCTCTTTTTTTAATAACTACAGAATTTGCAGGTTGCCATGTTAATGCTGCTTGCTTTTGGATTGCTACTGCAAGAAATCCTGGCAAATTCCCAAGATGACAATCTTGCCGAATTCAAAAACATCGTGGAACAGCCGTTGGATAGCTACAAAACTATCAACTTGCCGGAGGAGCATATTCCTTACTTTCTGCACAACAATCAGCACGTTGCCAGCACCTGTAAGCAGGACCCTCATTGCCCATACAAAGTAGGTTTGCTTTTTGTTTTTGCTTTTTTATGTTTTCATTCAGAAGTAGTCTGGGGTGGTTTATACTTGGAGTTTTAGTAATTAAAGATGCTAATGAGTTTTTTTTCTTAGTTTTAAGAATAACAAGCTAGATTTATGGAACAATGCAAGCTTCAGCAAGCTTCTTCTTTTTCTCCTTTAATTGCTACAGAGCAGAAGTGATCCTGATAGTCTGAATGGCACTTTTGCACATGTGGAAGATGTCTGATCTGAGCAGAGTTAGTAATTTCTAGGCCTGTGGCTCTCAGGGTGCTGGAGCACCTTTGCTCAAGCGCCAAGAGTAGAGGGAAACCAGTGAAACGATCTTGCCTTGTGCACTGTGCTGCCTTTAAGGTTTGTTCATTATCTGCAGCTCTCAGCAGGGTGAAAATTTTGGGATGCTACACATTGAGTCAGGAAAATTGAACAGGATATATTAAAGACAAGAATAATATTTCTGTGCACGTATATCCTATTTTGGATATATGCCCGTGCCTAACAAATTCAAGCCTTCTTTCTGAAACGATTTGAAAAGACACCAAACAGAAAGCCTTCTATTCCATGTATATTCAATGCACTATCAATTTGTAGTGTATAAACTAACAATTACCTGAAGTAATTTAAATTTTGCTGCAGCATAACCTGGTCAGGAGCCATACTCAGTGAATTTTGTGTTACAGAAATACTTGAAGAAACTAAAATCCTGCTGGGGTTATGAGAAGTCCTGCAAATCGGATTACAGGTTCAGTTACCCAGTGTGTGATTATGTTGAAACTGGATGGTAAGTTCCATCTAAAATTTATAACGTGCACTAGGTCATAAAATGTATAGTGCTCAGTTTTTTATCAGCTTTGCAGTTACCATTACTGTGATATTTGGATGGTTACTGTGATAAAGGATGGTTATGATTCTTGGTGGTGTGGTGTGCCTGTATGTGTGTGTGTGCATGCATATTTCTTTTGGCATTATAAAAATTAAGCATTTCAAGGAAGAAAACACTGTTTGAAATGCATCAGGCTACAGTGTTTTCTTTATTCTGATTTAGTCTTGAATTCAGACTCCTAAAATAACTCTGGAGTTCCTTTCTTAGCTTTAAAAACAGAGGAGAAAATGTTAGAAAAGATTTTTATACCCTTTTAGGGGAGAATAGCTTTAAACTGTCATTGGAGTCTTTTCTTAAATACAGCTGATAAGTTGCTTCCTGTTTTGCATGTTGAATGCCAGTAAAGTAACTGGCTGGCCTTTTTGTTCCACTTCTAGTGGAACAAAAATATTATCTGCTTAAGTTATTACTAGAGCTGAGCAAAAGCCCTCAATTTTCCTCTCCCCTTCATCCATCAGGGCAAGTGACATTGACACAGCCCAACAGATATTCTGGAAACAAGCTGACTTTGGTTATGTTCGTGAGAGGCTGAACGAAATGAAAACCCATTGCAAGCCTGCAGCAATGGTGGGTGTTTTTGATAGGTAATACAGCTTTCACTTGCTTCTAAACATCATTCTTGTTATTGATCAAGTCTTGCTTGCTCTTCTGTTAACAGGGAGATTCATCTTTGACCTGTTCTCAGTACCTTCAGCACTGCAGAGCAACAAACTTGTACATTGACTTAAGAACTGCAAAGAGAAACCATGACAGGTCTCTGATTTGCTTATGTTACAGTAAAACCAAAATAAGGCAGGGAGAAACGCTTCCAAATTTGTTTAACAAATCCGTACGTACAGCTGGTGTGCTTTTTGCAGTGGGATTTGCAGTTGATCAAAGGCTTGTCACTGAAGTCCTGTGAAGATCCTAGTTTCTGATGATTGCTGGTTGCCTCTCTCAGCACTACTGGGTATTTAGGTTCTTGGCATGCTAAGCTCTCAGTTTCTTGCAGTGATTCTTCCCTCTTCTGGGTGGAGAGTAGAGAGGTAGATTTTCTGTGTCTTCAGAGATATCCTTCCTTGGTCAGATGACAGGCAAAGAATGACATGAAAAATGTCATGCTAAGAAGACATTCCCTCTGATAGGTTTTAATGGGCTGGTTATTGTGCCTTGATACATGAAACAGGAATTGCATTCTCAGATACAGTAAGTCTGAAGAAGACTCTAAATTGGCATCTCTTGTATCCCAGATTAAAATGCTATGCATTGGACTACTCTCTGAAAAGGGGATGGCATCATCCCTCTTTCCTTCTATTTTATCTTTGAAGTTAATGTCAGGGAATCTGACTCGAAAAAGCTGTTTCATGACTGTGACAGCAGGACCCCTCAGAATGGGTTGTCATCTCCTTAGCCTATCCTAAGAGCTGATTTAGACAGCACCTTTGGTTGTTAAACCAGCTTTGTGAAACTTGTTCTTAGATCATATTCTTCCAATATTTATAAAATTATTGAGTGACTAAATGGATTATAAAATCTGAGGTGAAATTCACTGAGAGATTGTTGAAAAAAATAGATATCCCTGTAAGTAATCATGAAGCAAAATCTCATTAAATTATTCATTTGGATACATGAAAATGGTACTTAAAATGTTCTGGCAGAGTAATGTTATCTTCTTGGTTAATATTTCAAGCTCTGAGGGCACTGTTATCTTTATTTGAGTAGTAGTGGAAAATGTTGCAATTATGCTGAAAAAAATACCCAAGTTTTAAGTATTTAAACATTTAAGTATTTAAGCATTTCCGATATGATTGCACAAAATCTGATAGATTTTTATTAATTTATATTAGATTCAAAGAAGACTTTTTTCAGAAAGGAGAAATTGGAGGTCATTGCACCCTTGATGTTCAAGCATTTTTGGCTGAAGGTCAGCGCAAGAGCCCTCTGCAGTCCTGGTAAGAGTCCCTTGTCATGGCTGCTTGGCTGCTTCCAAGTTCTTTTAGTTTGTGGGGGATTTTTTTTCGACTTTTTGTTTCCGTCTTTAGTTTTTGCCTCCTATTGGCACTAACAGTCTGTGCTGGGTATTTCATAATGAGGAAATAGTTGCTCCTTTCTAAGGTCAATTTAAGAGTTCATAATAGATGTAGTTACTAGGGGAATCTATTCAGAGTGCTGTTCTGAACTATGCTAAATGGAATTGTGTCATTCCTGACTAATTTACAGAGGCAGAAGCTTTGGATGTGTCTTCTAACCTGAAGGTCTCACATTCAGATGTTTTCTGGAGATGATGCTGACTCTGTGCCTACTCTGCCAGTGGACTGAGATGATCCCTTTGTTATTAAATGCCCTGAAGTTTGTGTTTGTGCCCTTGTGGACACCATCCTCGTGGTGCTGGGGCCAGTGCAGAGCCTGCTCTGCGTATTCATGTGCCCTGCCCGGGGAGCCTGTGTTGGGGTACGGAGCAGGCAGCAGTCTGCAGGCTGAGCAGGAACAGCAGAGGATGCTTTGTGCTACGTGGTTTCCTCTCAGGGTTGAATGTTAGTACTTCAAAGTAGCATTGAGGTTAACTGATGAAGCATGAAGGAACTGGAGCCATCAGGCTTCCTATATGAAGTCTTTTTTATTTTTTTCCCCCCCCTTCCATTTTATACTTTTCTCATGTTTCCCGTTATTCTTCTCATTTTGCATTAATGGTCACTTTAAGTTAAGAATAACTGCAGAGCAAGACACGACTTATTTCTTCCCTACACTTATTGTCCTCTTAGATGCTCATCCCTCCTTAGTTCCCAGTATAAATATCTCATCTGAATTCATTATTCTGACCAAAATATGAAGATCTTGCTGAAGCATCGCTGGCAATGCAGGTCAGGTTGGATAGACCCACAGATCTGGGCTCTAAGGCTCTTTGTTAGATCTCAACTACTTTGATTTGTAGATCAAAGATGCACTTCCCTGCTGAGATCAAAGGCAGTGTTTAACCTCTTGGAGCTCATAACCTGAGAACTTTCCGTTACAATTACAAACAATTTTAGTCGTCAGACTTTATCAGACTTCAGCAACCTTGTTAAATCAAATGCAGTGGGTGACCATTTGTCTCATCTTAAATATGAGGTACGTGGTCTTAAGTATGTTAACGACAAAACATCTTCTCTGTGGTTGAATATTCCTAGGTTTGCAGAACTCCAGACATTTACCCCATTAAACTTCAGGCCCATAGAAGATGGCAAATGTGATATCGTTATTGAGAAGCCAACATACTTCATGAAATTAGATGCAGGTAACTTGTGTTTTTACTGTAGACTTGTCCTGTAATACTGCAATGAAGAGAGCCCGTATCCATCGTACTCAACTATGTTATACCTTTGTGACTGTCAGATTTACTTGTATTTTTTCTTTTGAAAAAGGTGTGACAATTCTATTCCTGTTTTTCTGTAGTTCTATTAATGATCTCACAAATTTAATTTTAAAACCTTAGATTTTCTTACAAATTTAAAAAAATCAGAGAGATTTCCTGCCACACGTCTGCACAGAGTCTTTGACTCCTGACTGTGTTTTGACAAAGCCTTTGGCACAAAGTCAAAGACTATTCTTTACAGAGTCTTTGATTTTTGGCTCTGTTTCTGGATGATAGTTTTCAGTTTTCCTATCTGTTGCATAAACACGAGGTATGTGCATATACATGTCTTGCAGTGTCTGTTAGGTAAATGAGGTTTCTACACATATTGAATGATAGGGAAGAGGAAGTGGTGTTCAAAGACAAAATGTTAGTGGATTAAAAAACCTGATAATGCTGTTTTAATCATAAACCTTCAAATTCAGGTTAAAAAGTCCATGCAGGGAGAAATTGGTTATTTTATTACAGAGAGCTGTGGTGATTGCTGGTCTACAGTATTCCAAAATTCATGTGAGGAGTAGCACCAAAAGACCTTTAGGAAGGTGAAGCATCCAGTGATATCTATCTGACATTCTTTAAATTCATCGGCCTTTTTGCTCATGGTGTGTTTTGAAAACAAATGTTAGTGAAGGATTTTCAGGATGTAGACATTAAAAACAAGCTGTGGTGGGGTGGGCTATGGTTTAAACTAGGTATTTGCTGTATTTTGGCCGCATGGCACATTCCAGCGGGGTCGCTCTTCTTCCCCTGTGGGCCAATGTCTTGTTTTTGCAGCAAGGCACCTGAGCATTTTGCCCTGTTGTCACCTTGTACCCTTTGAGTGGGGAAGTAGCTGTGTCCAGGAGACAAAACTGTCCCTCTCCACTTGACTTTGTTTTACAAGAGAGAAGGAAATTGCTGTTCAGGAGAAGTTTAGAAGCTAGTGTCTAGTCTGCACTAGCAAAGACACTGGATTACCTTACTTCCTTTAGCTATTGTAGCTTTCTATGTGCCCTGATCTTAGGTATTAATTTAAGAAACCAGGAATCAGCAAGAGTGCTCTGAGAGAGAAGCTGATGAATTACTTGGGCTTTGGCTTGGGTGTTAATACAAGTTCTGTCTTGAAGTCCTCCAGACAGAGCTGCTCTGAATGCTTACAAAAACAAAACAAAATGAAGAGCATGGCCAAAAACCCTTTTAATGTTTTCTGTATGTCTACGTAGTTACTGTTAGTGCAGCAGTTACTTTCATACACTGCAGAAAGCAGTTGCACACTGTAATGAGAAGGAGCAAGTAAAAGATTTTTTTTTTTCCTGCCACCTTTTTGAGCACTGATTTCTCTGAACTTTTCTTGAAGTGTGCTTTCCTGCAGATTTCTTACCTGGATGTCCTCCTTTTCAAATGTTTGGTTTTCTGGAGTACATGAGAAACTTTCAGTTAGAAGCAAAGGAAAGCTAGTGAGAAATGCAGACTTTATTTATACATATGTATGTGTATGTTCATATAAATATGTGCTTTATTTTTATAAGTGTGTGTGCATTTATATATAGACAGAATTTATTCACTGCTAAGGAAAAATCCATAAAGTGGAATAAATGGAGTGAATAATGGGTGAATGAAGGAGAGAATGAATATCCTGCTAACAATTCTTTCTCTTTCTCAGGTGTTAATATGTACCATCACTTCTGTGACTTTGTCAATCTTTATATTACGCAGCATATCAATAATTCCTTCAGTACTGATGTCAAAATAGTCATGTGGGATACAGTAAGTCTGTAGTGCATTTGTCATACTTTGTAATGGGTTATAGTTCAAATTTATAGAGATCTTGAAGCTTTTAATATGTGATTTAAATTTAAATTTTCCCATGGGCTGCTGATTTCATTTTTTATTTAAGCTTGTAGTGTGCCATGTAAAATTTAAAACGCAGTCCAAAACTAACATACCTTTTGACTATGCTGTTGTCCCAAGTCTGCCTATTATTTTGCTCTGTAATTTGCTTTGTAATACTTTGTGTATTCACTGCTCCAACAGCTAATATTTACCAGAGAACTACCAATATTCATTCCTTGCTATTTAATGAGAAATCAACCTTATAGCTAGAAGAAAACAGTTTTTCTAGTTCCCTTGTATATTGAAAGCTGAAACAAATCTCTTGCCAGATAAACAAACTACCAGATATTATGTAATGACCTGTTAATCCAGCACTAGTGGCCTTCTAAAAAGAACATGTGTTAAGTATCACTGTAAATTACTTTGAAAAGTAACTCCTTATATGACATCATCAAATCAAATAACTCTTAAGTGTTGCAATCAGCAGTGCTATAATTCAGCAGCTTTAAAAGTATCTAACTGTTCCTTCTGCTTAAATTTGTTGCCATGAACAGCCAGATGATGGCACCAAGTAACTGCTGATAAGCTGTCTCCACACTTATCAAAGATAGACTTGAATTTATTCGTCATTCTCTCTCTCTCTCTCTCTTTTTTTTTTTTTCTCTGATGTAATTGGATTTGGGCATATTCTCTATCTACTGTAAAATTGGCACACTGTTCTTATTAAACAGTAATGCCCTCAGATGTAGGTTAAACAAAGCAGAAAATGAGTGGGAAATCCACTGGGCGTTGATTTGCAGAATGCCTCTGTGAATGCAGGAAAATAATGTTTAGAAAGCACTTTTAAGGAGAGGACACAGGGTTAGAGAGCAGTACTTCCAGCTTTGAAGATCAGCTCTCTACTTCTAATCTGGAGGAGCAGTTGTCATAAGACAGGCTGCCAGAAAGTGGTATGGATTATGAAATTCATTAAAACTTAATGGCAGAAGAGGGAGAGAAAGCACCACTTAATCTTAAATAAATCTGGCAACCTTTAGATTCTTTTCGATTTATTACCTGTCTGCTCTCTTCTGTGGTCATTTAGAGATGTATTTTTGAGAATGTTTCCATGTAACTTTCCGGGGAGGATGATGCAGATCCAAACCGAAAGGAACATTTAAGCAGAAATCCGCACCGGAGTTAGTGAGGTCATATTTTAACTGCATTCATAGAGTAAGATGTAGTGACTCTTTAGCCCTCAGATGTGCAGGAACTGTTATGGACCTGAAGGCAAGAATGACTGAAAAGCCAAAAGGTAGCACAGATCCCTGCTGCTATAGGGGACTTTCTTATTCTGTCCATTAGAGAAACTTCAAGTAATGCTAGACATCTGATCTGATGAAAGAATTAACAGGGAAATTTATCTTCAACCTGTGATACATGTTATATGCAAATAAATAGAGGCAAACGTGAAATGGGCTGATTGTGTGTTTTTATTTTCAAACATTACTGCTGCACTTGGATGCCCAGGTGGTTGTTAGTTTCAGGAGTCTAGGTTCATGCCATCTACCCTCCTCACCTTTCACTTACTTCAAATTTGACATACATCTGTTGTCTCTGACATAAGTAGTAGGTAATCCTTGCTCCCAGCTCTCAGACTGTGATCTGTTGCCGAAGAATTTGTCTAGGTTGCTGGTTTGTAGAACTGTTTTCTTGAAAACTAATTAACATGCCAGGTGATTTGAGTTAACCACCCATGTAATCAGTAGGTTAGACATTCTGTAATGTCTGCCTTCTGTGGAAGGCAGTTTTAAGGCTGGTGTGGATATGCATGTAGGATGTGTGTTAAAAGTCATACAGGCTTGTAAATAATTAGGAAAACTTTTATATGCACTTCTGTAATCATAATGCAAAATGTTTTTCTTCTCCTAGAGCTCATATGGCTATGGCGATTTGTTCAGCGAGACATGGAAGGCATTTACTGACTATGAAATAATACACTTGAAAACTTTTGACTCTAAAAGGGTATGGAATTGTATATTTGCTTTCACTCATAGAGGCTACACAGTAAGTGTGACTGCTTCTCAAGCCACTTTGATATGGGTGTTCCAGAGGAAGGCATTCATATTTTAAGTGTACGTTTAATTTAGGTGATATTTATACATTATCTTACAAACCAGAGACACATAGTGGTAGCTGCAGTTGCCTGTTTCTCTGGTTTGTCTACACGTTGTGTAGAGAGACAAAATTTTGTGTCTTCTGAAAGGTGGTATTTATGTATTAGTTTCACTTTGGCAGCATCCTCTGAAGCTAAGGGTTTTCAAATGCTGTTATTCTAAATTACCCAATTGTGGTGGAGGTATATCTCTTCCCCTATAAATGTTAATATGCCTACTGTTTATGATAAACTGATATTTTTATTATATATGCATTCATTCAGAGCTCACTCAAATCCCATAAATCCTTTAAACTCTCTCTTAAATGCTCTCTACTATTTACCTGATTTTCTCCTACTTAGGTAATGTCTGCTCTGCTGTTTTTTGGTGCCTCCACTTTCCTCTTTTGTATATGCAGCGTCTTGAGAACTCTTTTGGGACCGAAATTGTCTTTGTTCTCTTCATTTGCACAGTTGATAGGGAAGTGAGGTTGTTCTTGACAGGAGCACCTAATTGCTACCTCATTATAAGCAGTAATTGCAGGGAATGAGCAGGGGATGTGAGAAGGTAGCAGTGCAGTGTAACTCCTTGTGATCTTCCTTTGCAGGTGTGCTTTAAAGAAGCCGTCTTCTCATTACTGCCTCGAATGCGATATGGCTTGTTCTATAACACACCCTTGGTGAGTGCTTTTTATCCATCCAGTGTGTTTGCTGGGGGGTGTGTGTATGACGTTATAAAATCTTAACTAATGAATCTCCCAAGCATTTAAGTGAGTTATTGTGAAATATTCTGTATTGGAAGCGCTGTGCAACTCCAAATGAAATGATTTTAAGGATTAGGATTTCAAAGGGCACTTGATCATTGTACTTAAACTGGTTGGTGGTAAGTGCTCGTGTACAGGCTTCTACTTTGCAGCTCATGAGAAGCAGATTATTTCTCTTAAATGGGAGGTACTGTGAATTTACTGGTGTACTTGCAGAGCACAAAAGCTTGTAAATTGGCATTGTTGCTGGAAGCCAAGGAAGCAGCTTTTATGTGGGCTTTTATCTTGGGACTGTCACTTTGCATATTCCATGGAGAATAAATTCTGAATGTGGGTGATTACTGCCCTGCATTCATGTGATAACTTGGACCATACTTCCTTAATTTGTTTCCTTTGTGGCATTTTCCTGGGATTGATGGAGCAGGGTCTCGTGGCTGAGGGTGTGTGATGGGAGCCTGAGAAGGGAAGGAGCCCAGGCTTGGGGAAGTCAGACTCTGCAAAAGAGAAGTTTGGAAGCCAGAGCTTGGGGTTATGGCTTGTGGGGATGGAGGGCAACCCCTTGAAAGGCAGAATTGCCCATTCTGCTGTCACTAAGAAGCTTTGTGAGAGTGTGTTTGCTGCTGGGCACTGCCTTCCTGCAAAAGCTTTTGTTCCTCGGGCGTTAGCTTGAGGCTGCAGAGCGAGTCCTACTTCCTTCCAAATGAAAGTGCTGCTTGTGTTGCACTGAATAGTGACGTGCTTAATGCAGTGCAAGATAGTGGGGTTTTGTTCTGCAAGAATGGTGAGAGACTGATCACAAAGTGAGGTGTGCTGAGCGAAGTAACTTTTGTATTATTAATTGCTTTTCTAATTTCAGATCTCTGGCTGTCATGGCACAGGGCTGTTTAGAGCATTCTCTCAGCATGTGTTACACAGATTAAATATCACACAAGAAGGACCTAAGGTATGGTAAAAGAAAGATAAAACTGGTGTGGAGCTTGCAGTTCTTATCTGGATAAAAAGAAGCTGCAAATAACTGGACCCAGTGGGAAATAAGAGCAAATATTACATTTCTTGTCCTTTGTTAGGGTGCTCAAGATTTTCTTCCGATAAACCCATCAGTTCCATAAAGGCCTTCAGCAGATTTTATGTACGTGTGTAGAAGTTGATCCCACATGTAATCTCTGTAGGACAGACTTTAGGACATTCTCCTTTGAACCCTAGGGAGCTGTTCTTCCACATCCCCTCCTGTGTTCCCAGGGCTTTTAGATTCTTTCTAGTTAAACTGGATACATAAGAGGATCCTACAAAGCAGTGGGCTTCCTCTCTGCATGTGTCCTATTTACCAGCCCTCACAGCTACTGCAGAGCTCAGGTAGAGAAGGGAATGATTGGAGCTGGTCCTCCCAGTCCCTTCCTGCTACCGTGTGTCCGACCCTGGGCTGCTTTGTTGTACACACTGGTGTTTTTTGCAAACTGTTGCAATGTCTGCGTTGATGGATGCAGCAGTATGGGGCTTCTTGAAGTGTTTGCTGGAGAATAGCCTACATATTGCTGAGGGACACATGCTGCACAAGCATTTAGTCACACTTCTCCTGCTGACACTAATGGGAGTCATGCAGTTAAATCTTTTTATTTCACTTGGAGCATTTACCCCTGTGAGTCCAATTAATTTGAAGAGGTAAAAGGAGGAACTGCTGTAGAGGTGGTTTTTTTAAGGATTCTGTGCACAAACCATCCAGAAAGCATCTTCCCTGCTTTCAAGAACTGCCAAATAATGTGTAATATAAAGACTCGTTTGTACTGAATAAAAATAAATCATTTGGAAAGCATTCTATTCTTTGTTAATAGCAGGACTTTCACAAAGTTTTTGACAATTTAATCTATTGGGAAATTCAGTATGAATTTTAAGGTGGTTACATCATCTGTTATATGGGGAGGGAACATACTTAGCTGCCCAGATAATTGCTAAAATAAACATGGAAGTTTTTTTCTTTTAGTAAGGTCTGCCTCACAGCTAATTTATTGCTGTTTCTTTCCTTTTTTAGGATGGGAAAATTCGAGTCACAATACTTGCACGCAGTACAGATTACCGGAAAATATTAAACCAGAATGAGGTGTGGTCCTTCATATTTTTGAAACAAGTAAATTAACCAGAAGCTGAATTTTCCTCATTGATTTGGTTTTCAGCAATCCAAGACATCCGCCCACTGACAAATTTTGAATTGTGCAGTACTAAATGAATGTGAATATGTGCAGTACTAAATTTTTTCCAATATGTCATATGGGCAGTCTTTGTTTCTGTACACCAGGCACTGAACCTTGCTGCCTTTTGTAGATATTCGGTGGCAGACTACAGGTGTAATACTAAAAGTATTTCCTCTTAACAAAAAGATATTGTAGAACCTTCTAATAAAATTAAATTATTTGGCTCTCATATTATTCTCTCTGATTTCTAGAAGCCCCATTGTTGGAGGCTCTAATGAAAAGCTTTGTCATGCCTGCAGAACAAAATACATAGGCAGTTGAATCTGAGTATGAGCATTCAAAACTTAATGAATTTTCATGTTGATCCACATTTTCAAATCGTACACCTTGGTGGTCTCACGGTGAAGCTGCCTTTGTGATAAAATGATAACATTGAATGTTTTTATACTTCTCTTCATTCCTAGTTGTTACTGCCTGACAAAAAACGGATAGACGTTATTATTTCCATTTTATGTAGGAGGAACTGAAGCTTGTTTGATGCAGTATCTCAGTGGCAGAATAGATAGAGCCGAGATCACCAGTGCCTGATTTGCTAGACAGTCCACAGTGCCTGCCTGCACTGCTACATCTAGTTGTTTTTAGATAATTAGCACATGACAGGAAATGAGAAGTTGATCTTCTCTTGACAATGCTTTTATAGAGGAAAATACGTTGATTTCTTTCCCTCTCCTGCTGGCTGTGAATAGGAGTCTTGCAAAAAAGCCTTTTCTGGTAGAAGTCCGATGGCAAATGTTGGTTTCACTTCTCATGTGAGTCGGAATCTGGCCTGGTAAGGTGTTCTTGAAAATTAATCTAGCTACCAATTTTTTTTTTTTTTTTTTTTTTAAATATTGGAATATTCTTCTTTTGAAAACAAGCCCATATGAAATGTCATATGCACCTTTTATTTTTGGCAAAATTCCTGCTAGTTTTGGTGGCTTAGGTTTAGGCCATGTAAAAGGTAGCAGTGTGGTCTGTGATGGTGCAGGAGAACCAAGTCCCTTCTGCTGTGACTGCTCTGCCAGGAGTAAAGTATGGAGAAGGATCTCAGTATTAGAAAACAGGTTTAACCCAGAATCCTGCATGCTGGCATTAGGGTCACAGAGAGACTAGGGACATAGCTCCTTTATATGGCAGTGACAATCTGTTCTTTTCTTCTCTGTGTAATTCCCTGGTGAGGAAGGAGTGTGTAAAATGGTCAGCAGTGTGGGGAGCAATCAACCGAAGCAAAGCATTAAATCATAGTCCTTTTTATTTTCCTCCTTAGCTTGTGAATGCTTTGAAAACAGTATCGACGTTGGAGGTCCGAGTGGTAGACTACAAGTACAAGTAGGTATTTTGGTAGAGAAAGCTGGTGTGGTTTCATGCTGCCTGTGGCTGGTGCTGAGCCGTTGGCAGATGAAGCTACATGCAGCTTGTGAAATACAAGAACTGCTAAGGCAAGGAAGAATATAGTTAATAGTTTAGGATTCCCATCCAGTGGTTAATTACTTAGGAATGAATTTCTACAGTTAGGCTCATGTTAAAACTATTATATGAGCAAGTTTTGGAATTTCTTTCCTTTTGGTGTTTACTCCTCTCTCTCAGACACAGCATGTTCCCATCACTTTTGTGGATTTGCTATTGCTCTCCAGTGGGTCAACAAGAATTTATGTTGTGTGATGCCGATGTCTTATTTTATGACTATTAGCTTAGTAGTGAAAAATAATTCATAACTTATTTGTCCCTGAAGACACCACTGAGGTCAATTTATTATGTCCAGCTGAGGTAGGCACTGTGCCAATAGAAAACACTCCCAGGTGGTACGTGACTGTGTCAATGGCAGCAGTTTCCCATCCCTGGCTCTGTCATGGACCGTAATGCAGGAAGAGCAGGGAGCTGAAGCAGTGCTGAGAGCTCAGTATCGACCAAAGCTGAGACAGGGTGGGTGTCAAGTGTTGTTTCTGCTTCCATCACTTAAGACAGCACTTAAGCAGCCATTAGGAAAGAGGCTAGATACTCAGGAGAGGACCATCCCACTGTTTGAAAGCAGGAGCCGTGGTACTCTGCAATTATTGGTGCTTTTCCAAACCATTTGTAGTACTGTTCAGCACTGGAGATTGCCTCAGCTCTCCTGCTGCATCACTGTCCTCATAGTGGGGCCTTCTCTGATGTCTGCCCCTGCTGCAGCTTAAACACTCTAAGCTTTCTTGTTGCAATTTAAGCTGGTTGAGCTTTTTTCTCTGCAGAGCTTTCAGAAAGTTACTATCTCTTTGTATTGTTATGAACTTTTTTTACAAGATTAAAGCCTACTGCAATTCATTTCATTTTCTTCCCCTTATGACTAAATACTTTCAGTCCATTCTTTTCGTCATGTGCTCAGGGAACACCTTTAGCTTTAAAAACACTTGATGTGGAACTTGCAGTTAAAAGGTAGGAGAGAAGTGATGGGGTGAAGCTGAAGAAGTTTTGGGAGCTGAAACACAGTCTGGTCTCCTTATTTCTGCTTGATTCCCTGTGTATAAGTTCAGGTTGGGTATCTGCACTTTTATGAGGGAGCTGTGTATTTCTGCAATTAATTCAAAATGCTTTAGGTTTCTTTGCCTTTTTTAAAGGATGTCTATTTTTTAAAAAATAGCAAGTAAAAAAAAATGTTTACAAAAACGTAGAATGACTTAACCAAAGAAAATCAAATTTTTGGAGCAAACTCCTGTTAATATGAAGTTCTGAAATCTGTCTTCATTTCATTTAATTCCATGCTGAGTTATTGCTGGTTGCAGCATTTTGATTTTTTAGTACGGTTCCTTTAAAAATCAATTCCCTCTTTCAGAATTCCCTTAAGTTAATTTAGTGCTTTCTACATGTAACTAATTTGTGCCGAGATGGATAGGCATGCCAGATCACCGCTCTGCATTATGTCGTCTGCAGGGAGCTTGAATTTTCAGAGCAATTGAGAATTACGCACAATTCTGATATATTCATTGGGATGCATGGAGCTGGACTTACCCATTTGCTTTTTCTACCAGACTGGGCTGTTGTTTTTGAACTGTAAGTCTGCTTTTATCTCCTCTCCTTATTATAAACATAACTGCTAGTGTCTGTTCGTGTGTGCCAAAGAAGTACTCTCCTTTGCTGGTATTTGTGAATGTTTCTGTAGCATCCTCCTCTAGGCTTCATTTTTGAGCAAAGTAAGGCAGCTTTCATCACAACATACAAAATGTGATTATCATGCAGCCTCGGCCTTTGGTTTCCTACGATGTCGTGGTATAAGCAAGAGGCAGCCTGGCAAGTAATTGCTTGAGGAATATGATAGAAAGAGACTCATTCTGCGTGGGGGCACTGACCTCTACTAATGGTACTCTGGTAATCTAGATGAATTGATTACAACAAATGTTTGTCTAGGCTGTTAAAGATTCTCCCAAAAGGTTATTTATATCCTCTTTCCCATAGTTTTCCTTGTGCAGGACACAAGCAGCAGCTGCCCAGCCCAGCTCAGCTGGGCATTTTCTACCTTCCTTAAACTTCTCCAGTAGCTTTATTTAAATGCATTTTGTCATGAAGTGTTGCTAATAGATAATCTAGTTCTATAGAACTGAACAAAAATGCCTTACACTTGCCAGAAGAGCACTGAATCCTCCCCTTGGGCAGTTTAAAGTCCCTGCTTTAAGACTCTGCTTAAAGTCCCTGCAGTGGGGCAAGGCTGTGGAGCTGGTGCTTTAGAGGATAGGCCTGTCTGAGAGCATTTCCCCCTGTCTCCAGATGAGAACTGCACAGAAACTGAGGGATTTACTGTGTCCCTAAGCTGCTGCAGCTGAACAGGGGTGTGACAGACCTGCACACGTGTCTCAAATTGCCTGTTCGACCACACTTCAAGAACAGATGGACAGCCCTTATTCTTGTCTTTCAGCAGAGCTGAACCTGGTCCATAGTTTCACTGCCTTAGAACTGGATAACAAATGTCTAATTAAATTTAAAAATGTTGTTTTTCCTCCCTTCCTCCTCCCCTCTTTCTGCCTGATGGACTTCAGCATAATTTCTGTGATTAAATATGATCTTCTGCCTGTCCCTAGATATAATTGTGAAGATGAGCGTTGTTACCTGGATTTAGCAAGGCTGAGAGGCATTCACTACATCACTTGGCAAAAAAAGAATAAAGTATTCCCTCAAGATCAGGTAATGATAGCTGCACTGGTGGAAGGGTGGGGATGATTTTCCTATTATAACTTCATTTGTTTAAAGTTAGCTTGCTTTACCTGTGTTCTGATCTTTGAAATATGATTTTCTGTCTTTATTTGAAATCAACTTCCTTGTTAGATTAAGAAATCTTTGGATATTATTGGCCAAGAGAAGAAGAGAAAATAAATTATTGGACTGTTAATCCAAGCTCTCTCTAACATCATTGTGCAGTTTCCTTGTTTTTCTTGCCTCAGAGCACATCAGTGGATAAGATATAAGTTAAAACTTACTACTTTTTATGGAAGATGTGCTGAATTTTTGTTGTCTAAATGCTTTTATGCTTTTTTGTTGTTGTTTTTGTTTTAGGGGCACCACCCAACGCTGGGAGAACATCCAAAATTTACAAACTACTCCTTTGATGTGGAAGAATTTATGTACTTAGTGCTTCTGGCTGCAAATCATGTTTCACAGCATTCCAAGTGGCCGTTTAGGGTAAAACATGATGAATTCTAGATCAGACTTTAGACTGAAATATTATTTTAAATAATGTTACATAAAAATATTGTAACAACATCAAGCAAAATGCTGGTATGAAACATGTAAACCTCTAGGAGGGAAACAATCTGTTTTTAACTTGTCAAACCAGTTCATAACACCGTACTGTATCTTTATATTCCTCTCCTTTAATTTTAGGAGTTTTCCATATGTAAAAGCTATCAGGATTTTTTTCTGCACTGTATTTTTGCATCCCAGATTCTGAACTACTGCTTCATACAAACATAGTCCATGCATTTCATGTAATGTTTATTTGGGGGTAGGTATTCATCTTGCAGTGACTTACACTTTTTATGCAAGGTGGGGAAATACCGGAGGATGCCGTAGTACAGATTGATTTCTCAGTATAGTCTCCGTGAGAATTACATAATCCTGGCACAGAGTTCTTCAGCTCGTCTTTTTAAGAGCTATAAGGTTTTATACTATAATACTAAACCTGTAAGTAAAAATCTGCAGGGGACTTGGCTTGCTGTTAAGAGGCCCTGGCCAGTGTATCATTTGTGGTCAGGTTACGTGACCCAATAGTTTCAGTATGGCCCATTGGTTCCTTCCCATCACCATCCTGCAGTGCTTGGCCCTGTGTCACTGCTAGATTCGAAGATTTGCTTCATAAAACAGTGGTTTTAAGAAGGAAGTGTTTAAGCGAGCTTTAACTTTTGTCATTTAACACGGAGACACTACAGCCTCCTATTTCAAATTTAGAAGTGTTTTTGAGGTAGAGAGAAGCATGTCTTGCGTTTTCACCTTTAAAAAATTGAACCTTACCAC